CGTAATTCAAATTTTAATATGTTAGGATTTGCAATGATCGACGGGTGGTCGGATATTTTTTGGAGGGGAGTGTACATAAAGAGTAGAAGTAATACTTTTCGTTAGAATATCAATTAAAAAAAACCTTGAAAAAAAATTAATTGTTAATATTTTTTTTTAAAGTTCTTAATACATTAATTTAATAAAAGAAATTTGAAGTGCAGATTTATCTTTATTAATCCTTTAAAATTAAAAAAAAAAAATAAGTAAGAAATTTAACATTAATTTTCTTTAAATTTACATATAAAAATTGAACGCGTCCGCGCGAATATATTTAAAACAGTTTAAATATGCCACATATAATTTTGGACCAATCAAATTCATGGGGGGACAGGTTAAGGATCCCCTTAAAAAAAAAGATTGCCGAACATAATTATATATAACGATATCACGTGATTTAGAGTTGGCACAAAATGAATGAGCAGGTTAAACTCAAATTCAAGTGGGCTTGAGAAGGTTGGAGCTGACACCGCCAATAATTGTTCTTTCCAAATCGGGAAATGGGTATGGCAAGTAAAACTTCTTTTGATGCAAACGTGATAATGTTGTAAATGACTTTAGAGAAAGTGTTAAAATATAATAACTATTAAATTGACTTAGTTCCAGAATTTCCATAACTCTGATGCATCCTCGAGATTCTCATGATATTATAGGCGGTTAGTTAGAGACATATTGGGATTCGATATATTTGATATGTTCCTGAATTTGATACTTAACTATTAGCATATATGTGATCAGTACGCTAGCTCTTTCGACGTCATCCCGGGATGACTCATCAACCAACGAATAGCAGAAAGTCCACAGTGCTTGCATGAACAACTGGTACGGTCGGGCTAGAAAGAGCTCCTTCGCGTTCACTCTTTCGACGCCATCCCGGGATGACTCGTCAACCGACGAATAACAGTAAATCCACAGTGCTTGCGTGAACAACTGGTACGGCCGGGCTAGAAAGAGTGAGAAGGACGCACGCCTTTTTTTTTTTGCAATACTAAAAAAAAAAACTATTCATATATTTCATATATTCTTGTTTTACCTTACCATAACTAGCAATCAAACACTTGATTATTCACATCACGTATTGAGGTACTCACGTGATTGAAAGTAAATTTGCTTACAGATTACATAAGCTAATTATACAAAAAATTGAGAATTAAAAAGTAGAATTTTTATTGTTTAGTTTCGGTTTCTTTCTTTTTATTTTTAAAAAATTAAAAAATGGCAATGGCAATGGCATCTTTAAAAGAATGTTTTAATTATAAGGACTTCTCCGATATCGAAAAAAATTAGAGTCGCTGTCTGAGAGGTAAAAATTGGGTGATCATTAATTATTCTTGATTTCAGTTAAAATATTTTCGTAAAGTTTTATTATTACCGACCGAATATCAATTAATATCTCGATTACAAAAATTCACGATGGGAACTTTGTTACGGTTTAGCAATACGCTAATAATTGATGCTTGAGGGATTATCTAAGAAAACAAGTTTCAATGGAAAGATAAACTTCAGATGTGTTTATGATAAGGAGCATTTGAGAAAATGAAGAGAATGTATTTAAGAATATCGGGTTTTAAGAATTCAAGTTTTTTAAAATCCTAAATCATTTTTTTTTTTATAATTAAATCTTCTATTAACATCCCTTTATAACGACCAAATTCGTCTGGTCATAGTTAGAAAAGAATGTTGATTGAATAAGTCTAATTCTGTAAAGCAATTTTTTTTTTTTCATTTATTATCAGACCAATAGTTTCAACATGATGCAATTGTCCATCATACTCGCCCAATGTAAATAATATACCTTTTAAACCATCAAAATTACAACAATCCCATTTAAAAGTTCAATTGTAAGAAAGAACAAGAGATTCTAATAATTTCGATTAAATAAATGGCTTATTCTAAAAACATATTTAGTATATCGCTGATTTTCTATGCACTAATATGAATTTGCCATTTATTTAACTTGAAATCTACTAGTCAACACGTAAAATACTTAATTAATATTAATTTTTACATTAGTATACAATCAATCTTCTAATTATTTAGATTGTAATAAATTTGATGAAATGTTTAAAAAGTATAGGTTTCTAATAGCCATTATGCTCTAAAAACTCGGATCATCTTTATGATCGTTTCTCTGCAAATTGGACATTCATTTTTGGTTTCTTGTAATTTTTTACCACAATCCAAACATGTACACATGTGTCCTATATAAATAAAGAGAGATAGATAAATAAATATTTGTTGAAAACGAACGTATCCAATACACTAATATCTAAAGTTTCAATTTTACCACAGTCCATAAGTAAACAGTTAGATTCTGCATCACAACAAATTCTGCATAACCCATCATCAGAAAGTTCATTTGCATTACGCGACATTTCGTGCTTTTCCCATTTAATTAAACTTTCCATGCGCTCAATTAACTCGGATTTTTCAACCATTTTGGAGTAATCAATACAATTCTCTCTAAGGATCTCTTTGATAGTTTTAACAGATAATTTAGATATATCCACCTTTTCTCTAATAATAGTTTTAAGTGAGATCGGAGCTTTATGAGAAGAAGGAAAAGGTTGTTTTTGTGACTGATAATTTTGTTGACGTCGTTGTTGTGATGAAGGTTGTTGAAATGGGGGTGGGGGTGATGATGGTGGTGGTGGTGGTTGAGATCGAGGTCGAGGTCGAGGTCGAGGTGGATGTGGAGGTGAAGGTGAAGGTGAAGTTGAAGTATTTTGATAATAAGATCGTGAATAACTAGCGTTGTATTGAGTTCCGGTACGAGTATAATTGGCACTTGGTGGTATATCAGATGCTATTAAATTTAAATTTGTTGTAATAATCGGTTTATATAATATTATTTTCTCAAAAAAACATACCAGTTTCATGAGATGTTTGGACAGATTGAGCAATTGGATAATGATCTCGATAATAAACTTCATAACGTTCTTCCAATGGTCTATGCGCCATAATGATATTAATCAAATCGTCTTTTTCAATAATATTATGACAAGGAAGATTATATGCTGAAATATATTCTCGCAATATTTTGGTTGGTGATCTGATAAGTTGTGAACGATTCATTTCCATTACTATACAAATATAAAGAAATAATTTTCTTGAAAAAAAAATTCACCTCTCAATAAAACGCGTAAATAATTCTAAAATTCTTTAGCTTACTTTTCAAATAATCATAGCATAAGTTACAAACTCGCACAGGCCTGATAATTATGTTTAATTTTAAAAAAATGTCAATTATGTTAATAATTATGTTTAAAGTATAGGTTCAACAACTTACTCAAAATAACTAAATTTTGGTAACTCAGCTCTATTATCAGAACATCGTCCACAAGTTACATTACCTATATATCAAAAAAGATGATTATTTTAGCTCAACACAAAATTAAAAAAAGAATTTGATTAATATACCACAATTATAACAATTGTATTTTTGACGGAACATGCGAAACGTAATACCACAACAAGAACAACAAGAAGCTGCATTGTGTGGCTTAAGTCTCGGAATGGAATGAGTTAAAGGTGCATGAAAAGTTGTTCCGGGACTTCTAGGTGCATTTTGATGACTTTGATTGTAATCTTGGAAGTATTGGGTTGACATCTATAAGTACACACAAATTAAAGAACGTAAGTTATTTATTAAGAAAGAGTTATATAGTTTTAGTCGAGAATATAAGGTTCGGTTATATTTCAATTCAGTAATCACGTGTTAAATTGATCACCCATTGTTTTCTTTTCGAATTTACTTTAACTACCTATTATTATACATTGAATATAATTCGTGGCATTATGTTACTCGGTTATTTTTTGAGGTTATGGGCAGACTATCAAGTTATACTTTCGAGCTGTTTTATGTTAGCATGTGTCGTTGTACTTTATACAACGAATCGCAACAAAACACGGCTGGCAAAAAAGAAACACAGTTTGGAACAGACTACTGAAAAAGAGTATACTGATAAAAAGGTTGTTCAAGGTTTACCGACTGTTAAAGAAAAAACAACCGTGAAGGGTCTTCCAAAAAGATTCAAACCTCGCTTAGTTAAAAAGAATTCAGGTCAAGCTAGTAATGGTTCAGGTGAACAAACATCCTGTTGCAGTGGGAATGGCGAGGAGTGTTGCAAGAATCAACTTTCGCAAGAAATGCCCTGCACCATAACAAAGGAACTAACAAAAGAATTCATTAAAATATTTTATGCTACGCAAACTAGAACAGCAAAATATTTTGCTCAACAACTTTATGAGTCATTCCTGGAGCGTTGTGAATGCTCAATGATGGATATCATCAATTACGAAACTGAAGATTTCTTGTCGGAATCAGCAATTTGTATATTTATCATATCTACATATAATGTTGAAGGGCCTCTTGATTGGTTTTATAAGTGGTTGGAAGATACAAGATACGATTTTAGGGTAGATAAACAAGCGTTATCTAAGATGAGGTTTGCAGTGTTTGGACTTGGTGATTCTGCTTATGGTGAACAATTTTGCAATCAACCTAGAAATATCGACAAATGGTTAGGTCAATTAGGAGCGAAACGATTATATCCATTAGGCGAAGGTGACAAAGATTCAGGTATGAAATATCGAAATTTATTATTTTCATTTAACAATTTAACGTAAAAAATTGAAAATTTTGATTTTTATAGATCAAGAAAAAAGTTTTGAAGCTTGGAAACTATCTCTTGTCAATGTATTATTAGATCCTTCAACTGCAACAAATAATGATTTGAACAACCAGATATATGATTCATACAGTGAATCCGATGATGATGATGACGATAATGAACAAGATTCAGACGATAATTATAATGATGATAATAATGGTTTTGATACAGAGTTGGTAGACGTTGAGGATATGGGCGCATTAGCTCCTAAATTACAATCCGCGCGTAAATCAAAAGAAGAAGAAGAACTTGCAAATAAAAATCGCAATGGACAACCGAAAAGGTCTTTAATTGAACAAGAGACTCATACAAAAGAACCTAAGGAAATGGTTACTCCAATGCTCCGTAAATCTTTGACTAAACAAGGATATAAAGTAGTTGGATCACATTCAGTAAGTTAACAATTCAACCATTTCAATCTATATCTTAGGGAGAGTGATAGATAATAACTTGTTCCTTTCAATAATAGGGTGTTAAAATATGTCGTTGGACTAAGGCAGGTATGTTGTTATGGAGCTTTTTGGGAGTTATTGGCTTGATGTCGAATTATATGCAAATGAAGATGTCCAGCTCAATCAGATGGATTTCATTTTGGGTTAAATTTCTTTCGGTTTAAATGATATAATAAAATTTAAATAAATTCAACATATACTGTATTAAAATTTTTTTGAAATTATACAGCTTTAAGAGGTAGAGGATCCTGCTATAAGTTTTGTTTTTATGGCATACAAAGGTTATAAATCAAATTTTTTTACTAAAAATAATTGATACATGTACTTATTAATTAATTTTTTTTTTTCTTTTTTCAAATTAACTTAGTCATAGGTGCCTTGAAACAACACCAAGTCTGGCCTGTTCAAACAAATGTGTTTTCTGGTATATTAAATTCACCTACTTTGTTTGTAACATACCATTTACATTAATTAATTCATATCTTTTATATCTATAGTTGGAGGCATCATACCAACCCCGTTGGTAAGTAGCCAATAAATTTTTTTTTTATAATTAAAAAGGGCAAATCAATATTAAATTTCTTCAATTCGAATAATTAAATTATAAGGCAAGGAGTTTATATGGAAAGTTGATCCACCAGAGATGATTTTTTCTGAATGCCTCGATAATCATTATAAGATGATTAAACAAATGAAAGGTATACCAGGCATTAAAGCAGATAGGTTTCAAGAAGCATTTAATGTCCGTCATTGTGCTTTATCATTAGTCGGGGAACCCATATTAGTAAGTATTCAATTCAAACATTGCATTTTACATAAAAAATAAACGTGAAAAAAAATAAATTTATAATTTTTTTTATTAGTATCCACATATCAATGAATTTGTTAAACTTTTACATGACAAACATATTTCGGTAATATATATTTTTTTTCTACGCAATTTCTTTTTGTTTAGATGTATCTAATATATATCATATCTCTTTAGTCATTTTTGGTTTGCAACGCGCAACATCCTTCACGTTTGAGGGCGTTAGATAAAGTAACACAACTTTATGTTAGCGTTGATGCTAGTACAAAAGAAAGTTTAAAAAAGATCGATAGACCTTTATTTAAAGATTTTTGGGAAAGATTTTTAGAATGCTTAGATATATTAAGTCAAAAAGGACAACGAACAGGTATTGAATTTAACGCGTCACATCATAAACACTCATAATTGGTAATTAAAAATAATAATGCACCATCCTTTATTTTAAAATTCTAGTTTATCGATTAACGTTGGTTAAAGATTATAATACTGAAGAGATTGCTAATTACGTTGAACTGGTAGGACGTGGTAAACCTGATTTTATTGAAGTTAAAGGGGTTACTTATTGTGGATATGGTGGAGCGAGTAAATTGACAATGGCTAATGTAAGTTCAAATTGTTTTACTAATTTACTTATCACCCTTAATCAACCTTAACTCCTTTTTTTTTTTTTAAAAAAAAAAAAAAATCAGGTTCCGTATCATAATGAAGTAATCTCCTTTGTAGATCAACTTAATCAACATTTAGGAGAAACTTATGAAGTAGCAGCAGAACATTCACACTCATGTTCAATACTTATAGCAAATACAAAATTTAAAATTAATAATCAATGGTATACTTGGATTGATTATGATAAATTTTTTGAATTACTTGAATCGGGAGAACATTTCACTAGTTTAGATTACGTTGCACCTACTCCTGATTGGGCTTTATTTGGTTCTCCTGAAGCTGGTTTTAATCCTGAAGACCAAAGATTTTATAGAAAATCAAAGAAAAATAATTCTGTTAAAAATGGTGGATGTTAATTTACGAAATAGAATTATTAAGTCATTTATTTATTGTCATTGAATTTGTTATAATTGATTCTTGTTTTTAAAGGGAAAAAAGGTTTAAAAGAATGTATATATATATAAAAGTTCATCATAACCATTACAATTTAAATGATAAAATATATTTACAGGGGTTATAAAAATATTTAGGAGGATGTGATAATTAATTCAATTTCTAAAATTTAATAAATTTATATTTTATTATACCATTAATGCATTCCCAACCTTGTTAAATGTGGTTCTGTAGAATTTGTGTGGGAGTAATAAGGGTCATCATGATAATCTTCAGATATCGGAACGATATTTTGCTGCTGAGGATGAACTACATATGGGGGTGGCGGACTCACGTAACGTTTCATTGAGAGGGAATGTTTCGGAGCAATAGGATATGTTGTTTGCGGAACTCCTGCATAATTTCCTGAAACATATACATTACCAATAGTTGGTTGACGCGTTACATTTATTATATTTGCAGAAACATTAGTACCATTGGTTGGATAACGCGTTAAACCATTATATCTGTTTGATGGGATACTTCCAGGATTTGTTTGATTTCTAGCTAAACCGGTATAAGATGGAGACATAAAATTTGATTCTGCTTTATTCCTCCTTCCTACATGAGAAGAAGGAATTGAACTAGGTTCTGTTGGATGTCTTCTCAAACCTGAATGTTGTATAGCGCTCATATTATCTGCATTAGTTGGACGACGTGCTAAATCTACATTGACTGCAGTTTGAGTTATATTAGATGGTTGACGCCTAACTTTTGTTACATTATTAGGAGGATATCTTCCTATATCGTATTGATCCGTGATGAAAGTGCCAACATTATTATTATTATTATTATTAGGTCCACAATTAACGTTCTTAACACCATCAACATTGCCACCATTACTAGCATCGCTAAGATTGCGTTGTAAAGTAGAAGACGAACGTCCACCTCCTATACCATCAATCTCTTCGTTCTCGTTAAAATTGGCTTTTTCGAGAAGATTTTTGGTTTCCTCTTCCAAGCTTATAGAACTATATTCACGCGTGCCAACTATTAATAGTATCACTCCAAGAAAGAGCTAATAAAGTGATTAGATGAACGTTAGTTCGAAAAAAACTTAAAAAAAGACGCGTAATAACATACGATTCAACTTACCATGATACCACCCTCAGAACATGCAGCAATAAATGTAGCTTGTTCAGCATCTTCAACTATAATTTTGCATCGACCTAAAAAGTTGGTTTCAGGTTGACCTTTCGCGAAATTTCTTTGACATCTGCCAATGAAGTCTTTTTTATTATTTTCATTTCTGGAAAGTATAACATTAAATACACTTAAACCAATAAGAATGAAAGTAGCCAACCACCACTGAAATCGGGTGAATGCTTTTATTAATGATTTTTTACGCTAATTAAAAAAATTAATATAAGTATTAATATAATAAATATAAAAGAATAATAATGAAAAAAAATATATATATATTGTATGCCACATACACTTAATCCCCCGACAACCCCTGATATACCAAAAGGTGTAAAAACCGCATTTATAGCTGCATATCCAACTAGATAAAAATTTTTCAAATGCAAAGTTGCAGCTATAAGGTATCGAAAAAAGAAATGAAAATTGTAAATAATTTAGAAAAAATGTAAGTATAAATTTGAAATAAATGAGAGTAGTATTTACGATTTTTTTCAAAATATGTCAAGAATGCGGTAACGATACAATAAACCTGTAAAATGTTGGTAAATTTCATTAATATTAAAAAAAAACCACTACTTTTTAAAAACAACTTCAATATGTACCGCAAATCCGGCTCCGATAATAGTAATCACCACGCGTCCTAACATTTTATTTAGTTATTTACTTGATTTGTGAAATGCTGTTAAGACTGTCATGGAAGACGAACCGCTGTATTTCGTAAATAAATTACTCTTAATAAAAAAAGAAAAAGGTAGTAGATAATTTGAATTGTCCCGCAATTCTCTACTTAATATTTTCTTTAGATAAAGAGACTTTTACTTTGGATAAATTGGACCTGCCAAATATAAATTATCTATCCAATACGAGAGAAAAAAAAAAGAAAAGAAAAAAGAGATTATATATAGATAAAATGAGAATTTTTTTTGTTTGTGGACTATTGACGAACTATTACAGCGATAAGCTTTTTACTTCCTTGAGCAAACAAGGAAAATATCAAATTGTGGTGATCAAAAAAAAAAAGTTTTCGGAACTTTGTACCGTACAGTATGGGAGCAGTTATATATGACCGAAACATTATTAGGAGGTTTCAATTAACACTTATTACGCGTAACAAATGATATTTGACATAAAAAAGGAACGTCTTCATGTTCTTTTTATATATTATTTATTCCTAAATTGGAGATGAAACAACCTCGCATTCGGTAATCAAATAATCATCAAACACTAAAAAGGAGAAATCTAAACCTAAATTGTGTAAGACACAAGATCTTGAACACGAAACTACACAAAATTAAAAGTTGTTAATGATGTAATAAAATTAAAACAATATAAAAAAATTGAAATTTTTGTTTCTCTTTGGTAAATTCTAGCCACAAAATTTGAAAAATCGCAAGCCCTCTCATCACGATTAAGAAATTTTATATTTATAGGATGGCTGAATTCGCCAAGGAGTATAGTTACAAATGACATAAAATTATTTAAAAAGCTTATAATCTAACAAATAATTTCTGGGGGAAGCGTAATTTGTGCACATGATTTGGTTGTGGCTAGTGTGGCTAAATTAGCACTGCACAAATACTGGTTTAAAAACCGATGCCAATTTGTTAATATCTATTAAAATAGGCATATGGTGTAGACGATCTTGTTTTATATTCTTATTATATATTTAGTATACTATAATACAGTAATTAAATGGCAACAAAACCAGACAAAGTGAACATTTTATAAATGAGAGGCTGATTATGATGTGGCTGTAAAATTGACCAGTGTGACTAGGGATGTTATCGGTTCGACTCGGTTTTCAAAAACTGCCAGTTTAGTCTTTGAGTTGAGCCGACCTCCGGTTTGTTATTTGAAGTTAAAACTGCAGTTGTAACTACGGTTCTAACTTCAGTTAATCACGTGTTTGAATTTTATTGGTTAATTAATATAACCGCGGTTTGTATTTTAAAAAAATCCTGTTTTGAAAAATAAAATGGCAAATAAATGCTATTGTTGTCTTTACATATGCTTAAATTTAAAATAAATTTGATAA